TCTAGTACAGCGCTTCCGGCTAATGCTCAGTGTGATTCTAGATCTCTATTCCAAGTTGTTGACCAGAACGATTTAGAACGTGCACAGCTCGTAATTAAAACAAATGGAGAGAATAGAAGTTTCTGGGTGGATGGGAGAATATCAGGCAATACCATTACCTTCACTGGTGGTTCAACAATATCGGTTAATTCAGAATTGTTTCAACCAAATGAGCCCAATGGAAGTTTTCTCCATTTGTGGTAAGTGCATATGATATATACTATGTATTATGTTGTTTTTGTTATTGTTGATAGTGGTACTATGGGAAATACAGAAAGACTAATTACATGTTTTAGCACAGTTTTAAAGTAAGACGTTCCTCAAAAATAAAAATAAAATATTGTCATTATATTTACATTTGCGACATTTTAGGATAAAATAAAATTTGATTGACAAAATAGTGTTAAAATAGAATTTTTAGTATAACTTACAATTGTATCCTACGTCAAAAATATCTCGCAATATTTTAAAATTAAGCCAGGTGACATATCGTGAAAAATGATATTTGTTATCTCACAACGTGTCTATTATATCAATAATTTCATTGGATTTGAAAAAAAAAAATCTCCTTATAAATATAAACACATTTTGACACAATTGCGTTTTACCTTCAGTTGCAAATTTATTAGCTTCGTGCTTACACATGCAAACAATTTCATCGGATTAAAAAATAACTTCTGTCCTTATATACAGGTATTATAACAATACATGGAGATTAGACGACACTACATGCAACTATGCTCAAAAGTATTTGTGTTCTGCTTAAGCGGTAAGTATCATACAAACTAAATAATTATAAATAATTATATGTGAGGTCTTAATAAATCTTCTCTTTTCTCGCGCCCACATTTGTTGTAAAATTAACTAAAATTCTTGAAATTGATTGTATAATGTATTTCTGCTAGGCATCATGTTAAATGAATATTTTTAACTGTAGAGCTACCAGCCATCATTGGGGCGCCACTATCTGGCATCTGAATAGTTTCCTCGGACATATAGCATGTATAGTGGAAAATAAAAAAATAGTACATGAAACAATTGAGCATAATGATAATGACATCTTCGAGATAGACACTGTTTTACTTTTGATTAATTGTAGTCTAATATTGTATTGCTGTAATTTTGTTAATGCAATTTGAAAAAAATAATATTCTTGTTTGATACTGAAAGTAGATAATTATATATTATATAACTAAAGTATAACTATATTGTATCCATAATGGCCTGATATAGAAGCAAACATCCGATTTGTTGTTTTATGAACCAATACAATAATTTATTAAGTTGTGAACCATTTGTTTTGGTAGGTAAACTGAAAATCACTTTTTATGTCATTTTCTATCTAACGAGTATTGTTGCATGTCTTCAACGCAACCTTTTTGTGTATGGTAAACACGGTATGATTTATTGTCCAAATTACATCTTTAAATCAAAGTCTTAATTATTAATTCTCTTATTGCAGGAAATCGCCGAGTCACAATTCAAACATGAAGTGTACCTCATTCATGAAATCACTCCGCAAATTATATTACTGCAAACGCATGCCTCGTAAATAAATCGTACGTGTAGTTTAGTTTCATTCCTAATGTTATTTTAGTTATTATTAGTGTTATTGCATGCTATAAACTTGTTGAATTGCAGAAGAATAAATGATCTAAAGCATAAATATTGAGTCTTTTATCGTGATAGTGTGATGGCATGCATTTTCGGTGTATGGTAATTTCAATTGTTTGAAACTTCAGAAAGGAGCAATTGTAGTGCAGTATTGTACCACGGTATTAAAGACCTACAGTCTATTATGCGTTCGAATTACACATAATTGATACTTCTCATGCGACCCACAACGATGCGGTGCGCCAAATGTGACACTTAAAATAAACTTGCTAAAAGTCTTAGTATACTGAATATCAAGACCGAGCTGTGGGATTAAGCAAATTTGTTGTCTTTATTGTTCTTTATGAAAAAATAGAATGCCAATAATTAAACGTCGATAAGTAAACTCCGACAACATCAGAATCCACAGGCAACTTTACGATTGCGAAAGAAAACGGTACAACATAGCCAATTCAGGGAGAGATTCGTCAATCAAGAGGTGACAAGCGCATCCTGCTCTGTTGTGGCAGCCACCACATACCGACACTGCAATATGCAACACAAAACCGATCGTTGACAATTGTGTTACAAGTAGGAATGTAAACTACTTGATTACTAGTCAGAGAACACTTCCAGCTTTGGAATTCCTCGCTCTCCTTATAACATTGCTTACAGTTCTACTAAATACTTAGGCGTACGTTATATATTATCCACCAATAACTATAAGCCATTGATTGATCACACAGTTTCTACGCTTCGTCTCTCAAAGGCAAGTCTTGCAGAGGCTTACTGCAGTATATAAAAACAAGCCATGCATGACACAATTATAATAATATAGTTGGAACACAAACATGTCAGATATAGATCCAGAAGCTGATGCTTAATTTTGTGTCTGATCTTCAAACGAGTACTTGCCCATATTGAGAGATATTGACTGGAAAAGCTTTTTAAATACATCTCTATATCGATGACAGGATGTATAATGAATATTAAATTTGAACATGATCAGTCAAAGCATGTCAGAAATATGGCACTAGAACAAAATGGCCGCCAGTTGGCTATTTTAAATCAATTGGTCATTTTAAATGACGTGCATCAGTGTTCAATAATGTTTAATGTATGTACAAGGTTGAACAAAATCCAACTGTAGACAGCACAGATCTGGTTGTGGAATGTCAGAAATGCTTGATTTTGAGTATTTTGTATCACAAAAATGACCGGCAGTCGGCCATCTTGAATCAGATCGTGAAACAAATTGGTGTGCACATGTATAATATTATGTACGATGTACGTGTGAAGTTTGAATGTAATCGGTCTAGGCATGTCTAAGACACAAGTCCGGCCGCACACACAAAGGTCGTTCTATAAGTCTATAAGTTTTTTGACTGCGTCCAAACGTGAACAAATATGCATTTACCATTAGGTAGGCTATACGCCTATAACACGATTGCTGTTGACGATTCACTGCTCGACACAAATTCTGCGAAAGCAACATGTACGTGATTCTCTATCAATATGATTACAATTAAATTAACGAAACCATTTACATATATAACCTTGTTTCGAAATAGGTAAACCAACAGCAGTTTATTGTATCACTTCCCACCCAGACATTTTTTTTCAAACATCAACAATCATTTGTGGCAAAGGTATTTTCCCACAATATCGTTGTATCTGCCATCCAACTTTTTGAGTTACAGTACAGAAACGGTATTGTAATAAATTAATGCGACGACATTGCAGAAAGGGTACACATGAGCTGCAGGCTCCACTTAACATTTCAACTGTAGATTGTACACACAATAGGCTGGAGAAATAGGAATATTGCTGTCAAGGTGTGGGAGGTTTATGATTTTAAAATCATTTTTTTATCGTGAAGTATGATAGAATGATGACCAGTAGAGTAATGTTTATATTCAAAGTAAATAAATCAGTGTCAGTTGTTTCTTTACCTCCTGACTTTCTATTTTTAAATTTCTCAGTTTTGTGGAAGTTAAAAGTTAACCAAATCCATGGATCACCGGTACTTGGCAGTAAACAAAAATTCATACAGTAGTACTCTAATTAACGTACGCCCTCACATATGGAGTTAGAGAGAATACGCGGATAAAAAAGCCCATTAGCTAACATAAAACACATGATGGCGGTATGAAACGGTACAACTTTAAAGGAGAGCATCAAATGATGTAGGTGGGTCAAATGATTTTTAGTGAATAAATGGATCTGAAACAGTTATACAACACCAACACACACCCTACGTAAAGTCTTAAAAAGAAATGAAAGAATGGCCGTCCCATCCTCGAAATCAGAGTGACACGAATATGCCTGATTAGCAACTGTAATTTCCAAAAGCTGAATATAGTCGTCAACAATAGTGGTCGAGGTAGGTGGATATCCATCTGCGAAAGATAGATATCATGAATATTGATGATCTCGCAGCGCATTTTTTGATACACTAATAAAAAACGGCAACTATGATAATGTGATGTACGCGGAACTAGACACATACAATTGAAAGGGGAGCGACCATATCACCCCATCGTGGGGTAAAAACTGAAGAACAAAAAAGTTGCAAAGTGTTACTGATTACCATGTAATCTATTTGTCATTTGCACACCCATAAAAATGTTAGTGGAATATGCTTTACATATAGGAACATAGAACAGTAATACTGAAGAAATGGAAACTGACAACACAAAAAAACCAAGAGGAGAAGGTTTAAAATGAGTGTAGAAAGAATGATAGAATTTCAAAATGAAAGAAATGCCAACTATAAAATAAACGGGCACGTACTAAATTGTCGGGAAAAACTAAATGAAATGGGTGAAAGTTAAGGCTAACATCGAAAAGATTAATACTGAAATATTGAAGATATGGTACAAACCGCACCTTCAAATACTATATCAGTCGCTGGCAAGTCTGGCCATGTGCTGCATGTACATGTTGAAATTAATAATAATACTCTTTAATGTGTATTGTACCATCGGCAGACACGAGTGTGCCCAATGCTTACAGCAACTAAAACGCCATCTCAACTAAATTAATGATGATCCTGGTATTGTTGGTGATTTTAATTGGACACTTGCACCTGGCATTGATCGTAATGGCGATAGGGAGCCATATATGCACACGTCCCATGCTCTAAGCTTTGTAATTGAAATGTTTAAATTGATTGATCTATGGCGACATCAACATGGCAAACAACACAAACTTCACATAGGGGCGGGTTATCGTAATGAGGTCACGTACGCACACTTGGTTCACACGCCGTTGCAGTATTCTTTGAAATCAACAACTTGCATGTTTAGGATAGGCATTTTAAACACATACTACAGGAATGTTATAGTTTGTTTACTAATTGTATTTAATATTGGCAATTTCGCATGACTTTAACCGTGAAACACATCCCTGGTAATCACGTGATCGTGCCACTGACTACCGCGATTGGTTGATGGAATGTTTACTCTGTCACGCCTTAGAGTTTTATGGCAGATTTTTCAAGATTTTGTTAGACAAGATGAGAGAATAAAGAGAGAGAGAATAAGGAGAAAAGGGGCAACAGGGCGTTACCTCAACTGACGGTTTAGATGAATAAAGCTGGACTATCTGTAATAAACTAATGTGTGTACACGACACTAGTATCGTAACGTATATAAGTCGTCTGCACGCTCGCCAGAGCCCCCTCACCACGACGACCCTTTCACAACAGGGGCGTGATAGCACTCTCATACGCCTTAAGAGTTTTTACATCTATAAACAGATGCACAGTCGTTTGAACGCTATTCAAATAAGCTATCAATTCAAGACAATTTTCTAGTGCGCATCAAACTGACCAAAGGCACACAAAACAAAACATCCAGTATGGTGTTTGAATATTGATG